GAGAGCAGTGTTAGTGAATGAAATTTCAAGTGGTCACTGGTTATGAGTTGCCCCAGGAAGAAGCTTTGTGGATGCACAGGGGCAACTACAGCTACTAGTTAACGCCCTACAAGCCTGAACCTCTATGCCCTGTCTCTTGTGCCACTACTGCAGTTAGTGTATTAGTGAATTTGGCCCTTCCTACAATGCAGTGCTGTTTCATGACGGCAGAAAGTGGGAGAAAAGAACACAAGCAAAAGGAAAGCAGATGTTTCAAAGGGTGGTGGCAGGATTCAAGTAGCCTAGCCTAAATATCTGCAGAGGGGAAAGCTCTCACACAAAACACAGTCATGAGGGACAAGGAAACTGTGGAGTCCAATAAATGTGAAAGGCAAGGTAGGGAGGAAAGGTGATGATGGATACAGGAAACCTAAGAAAGGAGGAGTGCAGCTCTGAAGAGGGACCCAAAAGGACTGGAGGTCTGTGAGCAGGGGACTCTGCTGCTCTGTCGTCCCAAGGATGTCTGGGCCAGCATCAAAAAAAAATATTCTTTACAAAGTGAGTGTGCAAGAACCATTGGAGAGAAAGAAAAGTGTTACTACTTTTGCCTCGGGGAGGAAAAGAGAAAGGTGCATATAAGACTACCTGACTGTTTTTGGGGACCCTAGAAAGCTGGGAGAGATCCCTTTGAAATGGGAAGGTCTCTTGGCAGATTGTATATGAAGCTTCCCAGCATTTGCCTCCAGAAACAGAAAAACAGATGGAAAGAGACCCAGCAGGGAAGTGAAATCTCATTTATCTGCACAATGCCATCCTCCTGGCTCCAGCCAGCTCTCTGCATGTCAGCTACCATAGAGCCTACCCCATCCATTCTGCTCCAGGCCTTCCCAAGCCCATCCATCACCCTATGGCTTCTTATTTACAGGGAGCCTGGCACACGAAGCTGGGTTTATTGTCTATCATCCCTGCCACACATGCACACACACACAACACCCATGTGGATGCACATACACTTTGCCTATTGCTGCAGATTGGGATTGTTTGGAGTCCAGGAAATCTCTACACACTCCTGCCAAAGTCTGAGCTTATCAGAGCCAAAGAGAAATCTGGCCTAGGGTACGTGCTTGGGTCTAGCTTAGTTCAGCCCTTGAGCATACAGACTGCATCGTTGAAGTCTGGGGTGATAAAGGATCTTGAGATATTCTCTATTTCTCGGTTCAAGAGTTTTGTTCCTCTTGGCTGTGACATGAAGAACATATGTGAAAAGTTAAAGCTAGGGCTGTCATGTATCATATTTTAAGTCAGACACGGGAATGAACGTAGATGATCTGATGTTCCTGCTTTGTCAAATACAAAACAAATAAAGCAGGGCAGTTTCAGAGCTATTTCCCCACCAAGGTAACGTAACTATTTATAGGGGGAAAACATGCCTGAGTTTCTGTGTACCTGTTCAATCCATGGCTGCCTTGCAGAATTACAAGCGGAGAGCAGAGTAATAGCAATTGTATCAGTGAGTCCAGAGATGAGACCTGTGCACAGGGAAAATTACTCAAGATGCAAAAAACCCTCTAATTTCCCTTACAGGGTTGTGACCATCCACTGCTAACCTAAAATGGATCAGAAATAGTGGCTGAGGGACAGCACTGCAACTCATTCATCAGCCCTGAGCCTGCACCCTGGGTAGCTCTAAGGCCTTATCTTTGCTTCACATATTTTCTTGTTAGTAGGCAGATTTGCTACCTCAAGAGGCAGGTGGCTCGTAATCCTGAGGGTATATAAAGGAAGTGCAAGGCATTGGGCGGAGTAAGGAGGATGTAGGTCTGGTGTTGTGAAGAACTACAGGAGAAGCTTAACTTGGCAAGTATTTTAGCTACTTCCTTTATTAATACATGAACCCTAAGAAGAGGATAAGTTCTGGACCTGTAACATGTATTTGTTTTAGAGCAATTTAGGAAAGGCATCTCCTAAGTAGGCCAGACTTCTTTCTGCCTGGCATATGTCTCAGGGCAGAATCTCACCCTTTGCAGAAAAGGTGCATCAGCAGTGTGACAACATTGTTGTCGCCTACACCAACAAGCCCGGGGCTAGCACAGACTTCTTCTGTGGACTGTGGTCCTGACAGAGGAGAGGGTGGAGTTTACTTTGGTGCCCAGATGTTGAGGAACCTGAGCACTGAGGAGAACTAGGGATGCTGTTGTGTTTTCTAGCTGCCTTTTGGAAGCATGAATTTTACAGCTTCTGTAGGGTAAGAAAATTGGAGAAGGTAGGAAGAAGTTTCTGAAATTAAAGATAGATCAGGGCATGGAAACAAGTGGTTAAGAGAAGGCTGGGACTTCTGTGCCTCTAGCAGAGCAGTGTTGCATTAACCCAAGGCACCAAAACTTGTCCATGCACTGTTTTGGTTTGCCAAACAGCTCAGACCTCCCCTGATAATGATGCAGTTACAGGTTTTTATCTGCATTATTAATGCAAGATTCCCAGTGACACCGTAACACAGCATGTTAGCCTGCCCTCTCAGCCAGTGCAGAGATGAGGCAACTCACATGCTCTGGATGCACTTTGATCCTGTGTCATGCCAGGACAGCTAGCTGGGCAGCTTAAATAAATGCCCCCTACACTTTGAAGCAGACCTTCTGTTTAACTGTCCTGCAGCATTTAGCTGCTTTCT